CCCTTGTGGCCACTGCTGCCTCTGTCTCCCTTTCTGTCTGTCTGCTGTTGGATCGAGTTCTTTTGTCAACACTGTTTCTCTGCTCCCCATCACTGCCATTGCTGAGGCCTCACCTCTGCTCCTGTCCTGGCCACCGGGTAGTTCCTGTGACGCTGCTACCACTGTTATCAAGGCTTCTGGCTTCCTCCAAGGGCCAGTCATCATGGCTGTCAAACCATCAGTGGCCCTTGTGGCTCTGCCGCTGTCATGGCTCAGCTCTTCTGTGGTTCTGCACTCTCTGCTGTCACTGCCACCACTACTTCTTTCTGGTGGCCTGCTCGGTCTGCTCTACAAAAGCAGCCAGGAAATACCCTCTAGTGAGAGCCATTTGTTAGGTGTAATGTTGGAAATCTAGGAGGCAGCCAACATAAGGAGATGCCTCCCAGCTGGCTCCCAAAATGAGCACAAGAGCTTGCTAATCCAATCAGAAAAGAGAGTGTGCTGCAGTGTCAGCAGACCTTCACATACAACCATGTTTATGAGAGGCATCATTCTATTGTCCCTTCTGTACTAGGCCAGAGTCCCTCTGCTAGGTAGATGACCTGGGAAATTCCCATTCTCTGGGTTCATATCAGAAGGAAAGTGTAATTCAAATTGTTTGAAACACTTTTGCCTGGTGCTGCAACTTTAAGAGCTAGAGTTGTGTTTTACTGGCGGGTGGCCACAGTTACTGTGTAGTTTCCTCAGTGTTTGTATGGTGTTCAAAGTAACCAGTGTTGTTTTAAATCTAGCTGGCTGCTTGACTAATGGTCATTATCTGAATGCAGCCTTGTGCAGGAGTCTAAGAGCTCCCCACTAAGGAGTCCAATTGTCTAATCTCCTGAAACTTTTCTTTGACCACAGGAAAATAAGAACAAATGCCTCATTACAAACACTGGTGTAGATTTAAATTGTTTTAAGGGTTGGTTTTTAACAGTGCTCCCCATGTGCCCAGCACATTAGTAAACGATGAATCCAGGAAGAGGTGGGACCAGAAGGCCACAGTAGCCTTTCCTGGATCTTTGCTGGTTTTCTAAGACAATGATGTTTGAACTTTCCATATTCTGTGTGGGGTGTGCTCATCTATGTGAAGCACAGTGTTGGTGGGAATGGAGCATCCTGGGATCCCTGATCCTCATGGTTCCTCAAGTGCATGAAGGAAAAGAGAGGGTTGCCATGCTTACTTGTTAGGGTCACTCTGAGGATGGAGTCAGGTTTGGTCCTTTGGAGAGTAGATGACGATGATTGAAATGGCCTTTGTGACCCCTTTGTGAAGAAGCTTGCTGTGTTTGTTCTTTCCTCCTTAAGGTACCGCAAGCTTCCTGATTACCATCACCCTGTCCTTGCCAAAGATTGCCTGAATGCTTCCATCTACTTCCTGAAGAACCTGGAATCCTTTGGGGTGGACCCATCCCAGGTGGTTCTCTGTGGAGAGAGTATTGGAGGTTGGGCAGTGGCCAATGTCATGCAGATCTTACCCAGCATTCCCAGTCTACCCCAGATCCAAGCTCAAGTCCTGATTCAACCACTTGTGAATTTGATCAATTTTCAGTTACCATCACATCAGCAGAGCAAAAATGTGCCAATCCTCACCAGAGACACACTGCTTATGTTTATGTGTAAATACCTGGCCATTGACCTCTCTTGGAAAGATGCCATGCTGTCAGGTGCTGTTATACCGCTGGACAAGTGGAAGAATTTCAGCAAATGGCTCAGCTATGACAACATCCCCAGAAGGTTCTGGAGCCAAGATCCACAACCGGAGTTTTTTGCACCTTTTAATGAGGCTGCCTATCTAGAAACCAAACATGTTTGGAGTGCAGAAATTTCACCTGTCCTAGCCGATGACAAGATTATTGCTCAGCTCCCTAAGACATTTCTGGTGAGCTGTGAGAATGACATCCTCCGGGATGATGCCTTGCTCTACAAGAAGCGCTTGGAAGACCAGGGGGTCCCTGTGAGCTGGTACCATGTGGAAGATGGCTTTCATGGATGCTTAATATTGTTTGATAAGAAATGTTTTTCTTTTCCTTGCTCCATGAAAGTTGTAAATGCTGTTGTAAGTTACATAAAGAGCATTTGATAGTAAATTTGAGCTTTCTGTGGAATGGGTAAGAAAGACCTATGCTTCTATTGTGCCAGAATCTCGAGACTCCCAGCAAGACCACCACAGAACCGATACCCAATGTAAAACATATGGGGTTTATTGATAACAAGCAAGCCTGTGCTTGTTCAGTGTCCAACACACTGGCTAGCCAGCCAGGTGAAGGAGGACAACCCTGAGCTCTCAGAGTGAGGGGTTTTTAAAGGGAAAAACCACAAGTAGGGTGGTACAAGCCTTTCTGTCATATGACTGGGTGAGGGTGTGTAAACTTTGAATTTACTGGTTGGGGGTTACACTTATCATTTGTGGGCAGGCTTGGACAAGTCCCAGGCTTTGTCCTTGAGCTGCCATGGAGGCTGGCTGGCCTCACACATTCACATTGACCCATGCACACAGCTCTAAGTTGATGAGGGGTCACAGACAGTGAACAGCTAGCTGAACCTTGAGCTGTCTGAGTATGAGTATGTGCAAAAAGGGAGCTATTACAAGGCTATGTAGTTTGTACATGGCCCTCCCAGAAACTGCTTGCTCAAATCTCAGGAAACTGAAATTGAGTCCTGATCTCTGAGAGAAGACTGAGCAGGCTGTTATGGCATGTGATTGGTCCTTTCACTTTAGCTGGGGCCTTTGCTTACTTATATGTTTTGGTGGAATGGAGATGCTGAAGTCATCCATGATCCAGGAAGAAATGAGGATGTGGAGGCAAAGAACTCTTGGCTTCCTTCTCATCAAAGTCTAATTTGTGTTCCTTTCCTATACCACAAATATCATGTGTTGGATCCAACCACAGTCTCTACTCTTTCATTAGGTAAAATATATATTGTAGTCATAAAAATGGTCTTGGAAGTTTTTGAAGGTCTATCCAGCTCTATGTGGAATAAATGCCATGCAGTCATTCTGTCACTTAGGAATCCTTACTCACTATGACAAAAGATTTCTTGGACTTCATTCCTGCTAATAAAAGTCATGTTTTTGCTCCTGAGGGCAAGGTCACTGGTCTCAGCTCCATTAACATTGCTTCTATCCATCCTGAGATGAATTTTTCAATGAAACTCTCTAAAAGTAGCCTGATTTCTGTTAGCCTGACAGGTTTTCCCTAGTGTCACCAACCAGGTGAGCTCTCCAGCACTACCTGCCACCCCACCCAACACAGCCTGCAGCATGGAGCCAGACCAGGTCTCTTGCTCTCAGGCCCTTAACTCTAGCTTGCCAATCCGCACACCAGCAGGGCCAGCTCCTCTGTGTCTCTGAGACAAGGTGCAGGGCTTTCTCCCTAGACTGCTGTCAGAGATATACAAAGTAGGGGAGGGGATGTCAGTTCTGTTCTCATGCCCTCAGGGCTCTCTCCTGCTTCCCCAAGCAATGGTCAGCTTTAGTTTGCTGCCCTGTAGGGGTGCAGGGTCTGCTCTCCTGTGTGCTGCATCTTATGAGGGGCTAGGCTAGTTCTCTCACTGTTATGAACCCAGGGCTAGTTCTCCTCATTTGCCACAGGTAGGAAAGTGGGGGTGGGGAAGAGAGCATCTTTTCCTCATCCATGCCACCACATGGCAGACAAGGGGGGCAGGGTTGTCTCTGCTGTTCTCACATCCTCAGGGCAGCTCACCTGCATCCCTGACAACAGGGCTAACTCTAGTGTGCTGCCTAGGTGAGGTGAATGCCAGTGGTGAGGAGTGGGCTCACATTTCCTGATTGCAGGGTCCATCTCTCCTGCTGCAGTATCTAGTGAGGGGCAGGACCAGCTATCCCAGGGCCAGTGTGGGTTGGTAATAGCTCAGCACAGGACTCAGATTTCAATGTGCTTGGTTCCTATGACCCTAATGGAAACATGGGCCATGGACATCAACACAGACCTCAGCTGCAGAAGCAACCCAGACCCAGACATGGGATCTTGGCAGTAGCCTGGGCATGGGCTTCACCATGGCCCGGGTGGCAGCACAGGCCATCCAGATCAGTATGGCTCTGGTAGCATCATGGCCCTCAGACACCAACATGTTCTCAGGTGGCTGATCAGACCCCAGGCATCTGCAGGGGCCTCCTCAGTAACAGGGGCCATGGACATCAACTTAAACCCTGGCTGCTGTAAAGCCTGCATGATACCATGGCCCCTGGTGACAGGGCAGGCCAATCAGATCAGATCAGCATGGCCCTGGTGGCATCATGGACCCCCCAGACACCCACATGACCATAGGTTGTGGCCTAGATCCTGGGAAACATTGTGGCCTTTGGTGGGAACATGGGTCACAGAATTCAATATTGATACCCTGGCTTTGGTAGGACCAGACATGGTCCTAGGCCACAGCCCAGGCTCAGATGTCACCATGGCCCCAGGTGGCAGTGCAGGTCCCCTGGTTTAGCATGTTCACTGTGACAGCATGGCCCCAAGTGGCAGCCCAGAACCCTGGATCTACATGGCCTTGAAAGGTACCAGGAACTATGTATATCGACTCAGACCCTGACTGCTGTAGGGCCATGGACCCCCAATGGCCCTCAGCAGCATTCCTGGCCAGGATATACCACAGCCCTAGGTGACAATACCGATCACTCAACTTGACATGGCCCTGGCAGCACACAGCTCTCAGACACTAACAGGGTCACAGGTTGTGGCCTAGACCTGGGTATCCATGTGGCTTTTGGTGGCACCATGAGCCACTGAATATCAACATAGATCTGGCTGTGGCGGGGCCATAGACCCTGCCTGACATGGTCCTCAGCAGCAGCCTGGCCACATATTGTCACCATGGCCTCAGGAGGCAGTGCAGGCCACTCAGATCAACATGGCCCCCACCACAGCATGGCCCTTAGACACCAACCTGGCGCCAGGTGGCTCCACAGACTGCAGGCCTCTGCACAGCCCTCAGTGATAACAGGAGCTACAGACATCAACTCATGCCCCCTCAGCTGCTTCAGGGCCTCTGACCAAGTTTGGCCCTTAGCAGTAGCCCAGACCCTGATATCACCTTGGATTTGGGTGGGAAGCAGGCCATTCACATTAGCCTCTTCCTCACACCCTCACCTCCTCAGATCTGCTTCTCTCCCCTCAGCTCATGAACTGCTTCGCCTTTCTCTTGCTTCCACCTCTCCACACTGATTTAATCACCATAATGCTGTCTGACTATCTGGTGCACCAGACAACACTCGGTTGAGTCCTGCCCCTACCGGCTACATGGCATGGTGAGGAGTGTGTCCTGGCCCAAAGTTCTACTGGAAGGACTCCTGCTGTCTTTTCTATTATTCCAGGGTGGAATGTATGAATCTCTTTAATGTTATGAACCCCTTTATGAACCTAACAATTCTTTGTCAATGTTTGTTTTGTCTGTAATAAACACCATTTTTATAGTCAAACTGTATGCTTTTCAATCTTTCTAATATTTTGATTTCAATCTTCATTGAAAACCTGGCTTAAAGCAGCGAGCGATGATAATGTTGATTAACACCCTGACTATTATGCTGCCCTGCTATTGCCTCTGCTTCTGTGCTCTGTACAGTTCCATGGGTTTGACCTGACTAGGATGGTGAGGGAATCAAGATAGAACAGACACAGAGACATAGGAGACTTGGGGTGGGTGGTATAGGCTCTCTGTTGAGAGGCCAAGCACCCCAGAAGCTCAATGTTTTTATTATATATAGTTGAACATGGAGGTGAGGTTATTGTGTGCAGCTGGACAAGGAGTCAGGTTTAGCTAATGTAGATAGGATCAATCTCTCTAGGGGAGCAGTCTTCAGGCTGTAAATATCTGAGGGGAGAAAGCTATGGTGGACATTTTCTGCACATACTATCAGCATCTGTATTTGGACCAGAGGAAGGCTTTGCCACCTCAGTGAGTCTCACTACAGGGTGGGGGAAGCTTTGCCACTCCCGTGGTTGGAGGCATTGGTCTTTGACATGGCGGGCTGATTCATTCAGGGCTTCATTCATTCCCTATAGTCTACCAAAATAAGCCAGTCATTGCTTTTAAATACTGTCTCATTCGGGTTTTCTGAGGATGTAGCCAGGATTTTTGCAAGAATTTAATGTATGTGGCCTCTGGTTCACTTCTCAGAAGCAGAATCTACATAGTCACATTGTGTAATATCTATTGTGATTTCTTTGATTGTTTTATCAAAAAAATAAAGCTCAGGCATAAATATTAGGGAGTAAACCTAAGAGATCCAATGGGTGACTAAGACACCATCCTGTCCCTCTCCACTACTGGGATCATAAGGCCTGCACAACCCCTCAGTCCCTCCTCTTCCTTCTCTGTGTGTCCTTCTATCTTCCTTAGAGTCAGCCAGAAAACTCTTTGGTCCATCCTGGCCAGCTGAATGTGGACTCTGTTCTCCAAACTGAGTTCAGACTCTATTGGTGGTCTCAGAGCAAGCAACACAAACAGATCTCCCACAACCTTTACCCACCCCCCTTTTTTGTACTTTGTTTTGTTGTTTTATTGTTTTTTGTTTCGTTTGTTTTTTTTTTTTTTTTTTTTTTTTGTACTTTGTTTTGTTGTTTTATTGTTTTTTGTTTCGTTTGTTTTTTTGAGATAGGGTTTCTCTGTGTAGTTTTGGTGCCTGTCCTGGATCTTGCTCTGTAGACCAGGCTGGCCTCCTGAGTGCTAGGTTTAAAGGCATGTGCCACCACCGCCCATTCCTTTACTCCTTTTTGTCTAAATAAAAAAGGGCTTGAAATATAACATAGTAAAACCATAAACAATAAGAACAACCAACAGGTATTGTTTAAATAGAAAGGAAAGTTATTAACTTTACCCAATGCAACTATATACAATAAGAACAATCAATTACACTTACAATGTCCAGTACATTTGTATTTGGCAAATTTGGAGAATTAGTTTATTATCCATCCTATCTTGATGAGTCTAAAGTTGTACACCTAAACCATTTTTTATCATAACTTGTATTACCATCCTAAAAATATATTTTTAGATCTTAAAACATGTTTTTTTCATTAAACAAGTTAAGCTTTTATGTCTCTCAACATTACATACTTTACATCTCTTATGTACGTTTGTCTTTTAATTTGACAACAGGGAAAATTGTATGACTACCTCATCTTCAATACCCATCAGAAACCCAAGAAGGATAAAATATTACTTGAGTAAATAGTGCAGAACAAACAACTTCCTAAACTGTAGGAATGACAGAGACATTTGGTTGTCTGGACAGTCTCTCAAGGTTCCTATGCAATGTTGGGGCATTCTTCTTCAGCCTACAGTCTAGACTATCTGACATTTTTGTGAAACAGGAATTTTGAAGTACCATTTTACCTTGTCTCAGCAAAGTTAGATAGTCACATTCTTTTGTGTTCTGCTTGTCCAATTTGGACAGAACAATTTGTCAGCAAGTGAGGCTAGGGAGTTTCTTTGCCTGGTGGCTAACTTTACCACAAATAAAAGCAAACTCCATATGGAGGTTCTTCAATGCTCATCATCCTTTTTTGAAGTAAATTGGTACTTTCAGGAGCAGATTCATCTCACTGTTATGAAAAGCCTTAGGTTATTAAAACACCTTAAATGTCACATTCTGTAGTTCTATGAGGGTTTGGAGACCACATATCTATCTAAACTATATCTCTGTTTAACCTTGAAATCATATCTAACATGACTACAAGGTTGATTATTTTAGATGACTGACTAATGACCTATATTTATTAATTATACATTACATTTTTGAATGAGCTGTATAGGTACAATAACAAACAATAGTAGAAACATTAAAAAAGCATAAATAAACTAAAATTTGTGTCCATATATAAAAACCCATACTAATGTAAAATATTTGAGATTATTAGATGTTATTCAGTTTAAAAGTAGATTCAATAATCTACTGTGTTTTCTCCTATCATTTTTGTATCCCTCTTTTTCTTTTCACAATGAGATGCTTGAATCTAATCTCCTTTGGTCAGCTTTTTCTCAGACCATGATTGAGAACAACTTGCAACTAGCCCCCCCTCCAAACACTGATAAGCATTTATAATCCATCCAACAACCAAAAAACTATGTACCCTACCTCTTGGGAATGTGGGCATCATGTTCTCTAGACTGCCTCCTGTTGTCTGAGGGAGATTGCATCTTTGGGAGACCCTGAGAAAATTGGTCAAATAATGGTCAAATCCTGGGAGATCCAGGTGTGTTTAATATCTGTGTGATGAGAAAGTATAGAATTTATCTGAAGTCTTGGCTGGAGTAGTCTGTGAGGCTGGATCATCTCACCCAGCAGCTTCGAAGTTGTTCTGGATGCAGGATTTTGAGGAAATTGTAAGAGAGGCATTCTGAGAGGCTAGATACCTGGCCTACTTGTCTTCATTGGTGTCTGGTTCTATAGTTCTGAAAATACATCAACTTTTAAAGGTAACATATATATCTGCATTAACACAAGTATGGATTATGTGGAATGCACAAGTCCATTAAAGATGCTTTTTTGTTGTTTTATGTTGAGCAGGTAAAAGGCATCTGTTAACTTTATGTTTGTTTGGACTGTATAAGCAAACCTCTATCAATGCCATATGAAAGAATGGCATGTAATAATAAGTCATAAGGACTCTATAGCCAACAAGACTTGTCATGTCTCATCCAGTCTCCGAGCTGTTCCCATAGTTAAGGGATCAGTATATAGATCACCTGTCCTGTAGTCTTTATAGATTTTCTTTTTTATGTCCATAGCCAAGATTTTTAGGTGGTCTCCCCCAATCAAATTTGATCTTCATTAATTTTGAAGAGAATCACAGCTTTTTGTTTTTTGAGGAAACAAAGGCATAACCTCTCCCTCAAACACAACACATTTTTTGACTTCCATTTTGAAGTTGACATTCTTAAAATATACAGGTTGGTTTGATTTAGCAGTTTCCAAAATCCAATGTCTCTTGAAGCTATTATTTTTGTATATTAACATTTAAAAATTTAAAGTCAACAAAGCACCACACAGGATCCAGACACCCTGTATATTTCCCATCTTTATGTGGTTTATTCTTTTTGTATTACATTATTCTTTCTTTAAAGAATTTGCTTTATTATTTTTAAACTATTTTTTCTATGATTGTCTACACCCATTTTCCTTTCTTTCTTATTCATCTAAGCACATGTTTAAACATACTGCACCTTTTTAGAAGTTTTCTGTGTCTGGACTTGGCTTTGCTATGCACCTGCAGCATTCTCTGACCTCATGAGATAAATTTTAAACTGCATGTCAGCTGCTGCATGGCTTAGCTTAGCAGTTGGCATGGCTGCATGGCACTGAAATAAAAACCCGCTGTCTTACATTTTAGTTAAAATATGATTACATCATTTATTTCCTCTTATCCTTCACACATCTTCCTTACCCAGCTCCTCCTATGCCCCCTCCTAATACATCTCAAATTTTTGGCCTCTTTTTCTATGAGTATGGTTGGTACCTGCTGAATCATTTAGTGCTACTTGTATGTACTTAATTTCATGGCTCACCCCTGGTATTGCACAAATAATTAGGGCCCCATTCTTGGGGAGACAAATTCTCCTCCTTCAGCAATCATTAATTGTCTTTAGTTCTTTTTCTAGGGATGAGGCCCCATGAAATTTCTCCTCCATCGGAGCATGTCTATTGGTGATGTCATTGTGCAGATGCAGGTGTTATTTAGGAAAAGGTTTGTTGTATGTTTCATCATGTGTATGCATGAGTGTCTGTGTGGGATCTGTGCCTTTGAGTGCAGGTGACTGTGGAGGTCAGAAGAGTGCTTAGGATGCCCTAAATCTGGTATTACAAGCAGTTGTGAGCCACCTGATGTGGCTACTGAGAACTGAACTTGGGTCCTCTGCCAGAGCAGTATATGCTTTTAACTACCATATTATCTTTCCAGCCCCAAGGAATAAAAATCTTCAGTTAGTAGTGACACTTCATAAAAGGCCCTGATACTGCTGGTGTTTGCAGGAGAATCCTGGACAAGGAAAGAGAATTTGTAGTTAAAATCTGAGGTTCTCTTACAATGAGGACTGGCCTCACTATCCCCCATCATATATGTCCATCTTATCTAGCTTCTGTCTGTGGCCCTCTGGTTCTGTGGAGAAGGATGCCCCCTTATGGCTTGTGTCTCCTGTGCTGACAGAGATTCTCTGAAAGGTTACGTATGTAAGCCTTCCTTCAGAGAGCAGCTGAGCTTATGTAGGATTCTGTTTGATTTCTCTGGCTGTTGAAACATGTTGTCACAAACATAGTGACTTATACTTCCCTGGTTGGGAAGACATTATAATTATGGATTAAGTAATATTCTTTTCCTGGGTAAGGCTCATCCATTGTACTCTGGGTATGTAGTCCTCTGAGAGTTCTCCAAAGGTGGAAAAATTTACTTCATAATTCTTGGTAGTGGATGTGGGAGGCCAGATTCACTTTTCCTAGAGTTTCTATGAGGAGGAGAGAGGGATAAGAAAATATTAGATAGAAAGATAGCAAAGAGGAGAAAGAGAGAAACATAGGATAGCTTCAGGACTTGGGTCAATACACAATGGCCCCCTCTACCTCTTCAAAAGGGCTTATTATAACAATGGCAAGGGACATGACAGAAGACCTTCCCCTTGCTAGATCAAAGCACACCACACAGCCAATTGTAGGCCCTTCCAAACACCTGGTAACCTTGCCCGTGTTCAAATCATCCCCTTATGCAGCCCTTCTGGGTAAAGCAAGCTCAGATTCTCAGACCCTGAGTAATTTGGGCCTCCACAAATCCCCCCTTTTTAATATTTTAAAGGGCCTCTCAGACCGCTCAGATAGACTGTTCCTTTCTTAAGTCATTCTTCACTAATCAGCCTTACCCGTCATGGAGATACACTTTCCATCAAGTGTACTCTGTCTTAGGTTGGCAGCTAGCAAGAAGTACTTACCCAATCTCTGACTACCAGCCTCTGGCAGGGGAAAGTACAGAGCTTAACTCTCTGCAGCTCTGACTTAGGTCCCTAAATCAGGTCCTTACTAAGAGCTTGCAAGTAGCTGGAACAACCACAGCAATTTCTATGGCTACTATACCCCCCAGTAAAGGAGTAGAGGATGACCAAGATGGAATGTCCTTTTTTGAATGGTTCTAAGATGTCTATATCAGCCATCTTAAATCAATGAACTCTTGATCAATTGCATCAAATAAATCAGTAAACTCCTGATGCAACCGCATCAAACCTAAAGACTTCCTTAGCTTTACCAAATGATAGTTCATTAATATCAACAGGTTAACATAATTCTAGCATGAATATTATTATACATATTTACAATTCTTATAAACTTACATCCAAAGGCAAACTCTTAATAGAACTATTTACACTTTACAAACTTTAGCAAACATTCAAAAGTGATCTCTTAACAGAAATATTTGCATTTTCTTCTAACAAGACAGAGGGTACATGAATTGTGAGTAACCATGTTTAAAATCATAGGTGAACTCAAAACTGTTTCATTTCTGAAGTTTGAAGTTCAAAGTCAGTTCAAATAATAGTCTTAAATTCCCCTGAAAGTTTGAAATCAGAGCCTAACTTCTCAGCAGCTCTGGTGTCTTTGTATTTGGCTCCCTCAGCCCTGGGATTCAGTACTACCCCCGCAGCCACCTTCCCTGCTGGGCCCTCCCAGCCATCCTAGAGCCAGTCTCAGTGTAGCACCACAGTGGAAGTATGCCTGGTGGCAGCCAGTTGCCAGCTGGGGGGTAGTCCCTTTACCTAAATTTGTTGCAGCCCCCCTGAATGCAACAATTCAACTCAGTTCAAATAAGCATTACTAAAACTTCACTCTCAGTTACAGCATCATTTTATGGCAGTCTTTCCCAAAGAATCTTGCCTTAGGGATGGAGGTGGTTGTCAAGGTAACTGAGCTACTACAGAGTTCTTAGTAAAGTGGTCTGCTCTGCTAGTAGGGATCAGAAACCATCTCTTAAAGGAGCCACGCATTGGTTTGCCACTGGCAACTGGAAGCAGTGTGGCTCTGGGCTCTGTTTACATTCCATCTTTCACAGTCTCAGTCCTTGAATACCACTTAGTGACAAAACCTTTGTCCCAAACTCTTCCTCAGTATCTGGGAGCCTCCTTAGTCTTCTGCTTTCTCCAGACTTTGGATGGAACATCATTGGATCAAGAACACTGATTCAACTGCTTCCACTCCAATTCCTCTAGGAGAACATCAGCAACTATGGTGTCATTAGGGCTGACATTCCTCTGTTCCATGCACCACACCAAGCACTCAGGCAGCCATTGAGTTTCATTTACATCTTGTGAAAAAAACAGAAACATGCCCTTGACCACATATTAAAACAGGGTTAGAACCTTTCCATAATCCCAAGCAAGGATCTTTCTGTTTCACCTGAGCAGAAGTCACTTGGGTGCCATCATGCCTAAAATCTTTCCATGGCAGATTGCTCACAGACATCCACATTAAAAAAAATTCAGAACTAAAAGATCATGATTCAATGCATTATGTGGTGACTGAGGTTACAATTCCTCCTTAATTTTTTGAAGCTGTATCTTGAGACTGCCATGGGCTCTCTCAATGATGCGTTGTCCTTGAGGATTATAAGGAATGCCTATTTTATGCTCAATTTGCCATTGGGAACAGAATTGCTGAAATGCTTTACTACTATATCCAGAACTATTGTCAGTTTTAATAATTTTTGGTATCCCCATAAAGGAGAAACATTTCAGGCAATGAGTAATTACATTCTTTGTAGCTTCTCCAGACTGTGCACTGGCCATTGGAAATACCGAATAAGTGTTGATGGTCACATGTACATATTATAACTTGCCCAATTCTGCACTATGAGTGACATCCATTTGCCATAAATGATTAGGAAGAGGGCCTCAAGGGTTTACCTACAAGTGAGGTGCATGAAAATACTTTGGACATACCCCACATTGTTTAACTATCTGTCAAGCAACTTCCTTGGTAAGATTGAATCGCTTAGATTTTTGCTATTTTGATGATGAAACGCATATGACTGTTGAATTAATTCTACTTGAGATAAGGCAACCATCCATGTCAATTTGTTAGCTGATGCATTACCAGTGGATAAAGTAACTAACAGGAATACTGGAATAAGTTCTACTGTGACCCACAAAGCATGGTAGCTTTCTTTAGTGAATAGCATCTTGAATTTGTTACCTGAAATAGTAACCTGACTGTTACTAGTCTCAATGCATGGAATAGTTCCTATAACTTGAAGAGTTCTATAAATATAATGACTATCTGTATATAAATTAAATGAACTATGTACAAGAAACTGAAAAATCATATTCACTGCCCTCAATTCTACTGTCTGTGCTGAAGCTGGGGTTGTTTGTACTATGTAGCTTTTACCATTGATAACATAAGCAGCCCTCTCATTGGAGAAACCATCAGTAAAAACTAGCATAGCATTTCTCATGGGGTCTTTTATCATAACCTTAGGAAATACAAATGAATGCATTTGGGTGAATTGTAACAATTGATCAGCTGGAAACTGATTATCAACTTGACCTAAAAACTAAGAAAAGGCAATTGCCCAAGAATCATTATTTTGAAAAAGCCAATCAATTTGCTGTTTTGTGAAAGGAACACTGATCACACTTGGTTCTTTACCAAAATAATGTCTAGATTCAACCCTGTTTTTCTGTACTAAACAAGCTACAGCTTTGCAATAAGGATTTAATGCCTTAGCTTGTGAAACAGGAAAATGTAATAATAAAAAAGGACTGTTTTGCCATAATACTGCTGTAGGAGTATGTCTAGTGGGCAAGATATATACGTGCCAAGGTTGATCATAATTAATATAATGTATTTGCTCATATTGAATAACATTCTCAACCTGTAAAAGAACCTGTCTACCTTTTTCAGTTAACTGTCTTGGTGAATTAGGATCACTATCTCCTTTCAAAAACTCATTTAAAGTTTCCAATAATTTTAAATAAGATAATTTTAAATAAGATAATTTTAAATAAGGTCACAACCATTGAATGTCCCCTAATAACTTTTGAAAATCATTCAAAGTTTTTAACCCATCCTTTTTTATTTCCAATTTTTGAGGCTTTAATTCCTTAGGGTATAATATATATCCTAGATACTGAAAAGGTGGCAGTCTTTGCACTTTCTCTGGAGTGATAATTAACCCTGCATGGGAAAGGCAGTGCTGAAGCTGTCTAAAGGTATCAAGCAAAATTTGTCTTTATGTGCAAACAAACTGTCCATATAATGAATAATATAAACTTGCTGAAGTTGATCTCTAACCTTTTGGATAGCTTGAGCCACAAATTTCTGACACAATGTTGGGCTATTGACCATTCCCTGGGGCAAAACTAATGAAATCTTTTCATGGGCTCTTTAAAATTAACTGATGAAACACTAAATGCAAATCTTTGACAATCTTGGAGAGCCAAAGGAATGGTATAAAAACAATCTTTAAAATCCAAAATAATTTTATAAGTATCTTTTGGTATTGCTGTAGGGGTAGGCAATCCAGGCTGCAAAGCTCCCATTGGCTGTATGGTCTCATTAATTTTCCTTAAATCCTATAATAATCTTCATTTCCCTGACTTCTTTTTGATCAGGAAGATAGGAGAATTCCAGGGAGAATTAGAGGGTTCGATATGGCCACCATCCAAATGTTCCTGTAACTTTAACTTCTGGATGGCTTGTGTTTTTTCTTCTGTTAGGGGCCATTTACCTATCCACACATGATTGTCATATTTCCAAGTTACAGGATCTGCATGGAGTTCAGGCCGCTCAATGACCCTTACTAAAAATACTCGAATCCATCCCTATTAGCCCTTTCTGTAGGGAGCAAAGATAACATTTGATCATCACTATTGTTTTACTAACTCCTGGTCATGAACCTTTTGTTTAGTGACTACTGTATTGGGGCTATATAAATATACTCTGATACAGCTTATAACATCTTGATCCCACAAATTTACAGGTAAGTGAGGAACAACGTATGGCTGAAAAGTTCCTTCATGACCTTCCTCATCTTTCCAGGAGAGTTCATTGATACTTTGCTCAGGACACTGAGTTTGACCAATCCCTTGCAGCTGTGTGATAGCTTCCATCTTTGGCCACATGGAAGGCCATTGACTAGCAGTAACAACAGACAGATCCATGCCCATGTCTAAAAGACCTGAGAAGCTTTATCTATTTATAACCAAAGTGAGTTCTGGATACTGTGGACCTATGGCTTGTAGCCAATAGGCATCTGATGAACCAACTCCATCCAGCTTCTCCTCTCTTATCCTTTATAACTAGGTTTTTTGTTTGTACCTGAGGAAGTAAAATTAACTATGCAAGTCTCTGGCCTGTCTTTATTATAGAAATTCCCTTAGGTGAGTGAGTCATCACCTTAATTTCTCCAAGGTAATCAGCATCAATTACTACAGGAGCAACAAAGATGC